CTACTGTGTGAGGATGATCTCTGCCGGTCTTTCTGAACTTTACCGGCATCGTATCTACTGACCCTAGAGTCTTGACTACCCACAGTTCTATCTCGTGAGATAGATCTCTGGGTAGTCTTTCTAGGGTCTTCTATTCGGTTTTTCTTCTCTAGGTTATCTTCAAAAGGGCTTGTTATAGGTCGTTTTGTGGAGGTTTTTGCCGGGGTTTTAAAGGTGGTATTAGTGCCTGTGGATTGGCTGAGGGTTTCTGACGCCCGGTTTATAGATCTTTGCAGACTCTCTGCTGCTGTTCTAAGATCAATCTCCTCTCTACTTCTATCGTAATCGTCGATGTTGAGCTCGTCCCAACCTGAGGGGAGCTCAACATCGATGTCGGGGACGGGAGTAGACGTTGCCCTTTCCGGTTCGGCGGTGATTTGATCCTCGTATTCGTTTCTAATTTGTTGGATTTCGGCCATCAGAGCTTCTGTTCTATCTCCGATGCCGAGGCTTTCTGTTAGGTTGGACTTAGGTTTTGGTTCTGGTTTGGAGGAAAATTCTTGGGAGCTCTCAATGGCAATTTCAGAGAGACTTGTATTGCTTCCCCTGACTTTATCCGCATATGTTTGCGAATTTTTTTTGCCAACTGCTGATTTTTGTTTTTGGGCAGCTGGCATTGGGTCAGGGACACGTGGTGGTTTTGGGCAGTCTTTTGCCAAGTGGCTCTCACCGCCGCACAAGAAACACTTCTGGATCGTCTTGGGCTGGTTTTCGTATTTGATACCCAGCTTGTGGTTATCGATCAAGATACTGGAGGGGATTGGTTTTTTTATCTCTTGTGTGAAGACAAATCTCACTCCAGTATCTATATTTGGGTGGCGAGAAAATGTGTTTCTTTTGATTCTAAGTGAGGTGCAGAATGCTTGTAATTTTGTTAAAATTACATCATTCCGCATCTCATATGGTGCACCGTAAACCATGATACGGATATCAGGCTTACGGTTTAGAGCGGGGATGTTTTTGGCGTGTTCAATTTCGAATTTGATATTGTTGTAGACTCTGGAATCTTGTTTAAACCAAGTGTGGAATTGTTCCAGATCTGCCTGATTTTCGAAGGATATAAGAAATTTGGCTCTCCCCCAAGTTCTGGAATCCCCTAATGATGGTCATAGGGGA